TTTGGCCCAAGGACGATCTCTATTGAAATAGGTTCAGATTTATCGGTTCAGATTTAGATATAGCTCCCATATAGATTTTCGTCCGATTTAAGGTAAATGATGTGTGTTAAGTTTCCCGAAAATCGGTTCAGATTTAGATATAGCTTCTATGTCTGACCAAATGAAAAATTTAGTATCGGTTGCAGAACGACATGACTTATTAGCAATTTGACAATCGGATATCTGACACGTGGAACCTTCATAACAATAACAAAAACACCACCATCTTAACCTGATAAACGGTTTATCATACCACAGGTATTATATTTGTAAGGTTCATATATCGAACATTGCCGTTTCCGAATGTCCGTTACACGTGTTACGACTATATCTATTAGAACAGCAAATTGAATTGTATAAGATCAAAATCGATGAATTTCCAACATAAAACCAGTAAGGAAAGTAGTAACGTCGGACGGGGCCGCCGGTAGTACAAAATGAAAAAATTCGCTTTGTAAACATGAATTTACTATGAAAAAAATTCATTTAGGGGGGGGGGGCCCGGGCCCCCAGGGCCGCCCCCTGCGTCCGTCCCTGATAGGAGCTATATCTAAATCTCAACCGATTTTTACGAAATTTAACACGCATCTTTCTAGACTTAATTCAGTACGCTTTGCCAAATTTCGTGCAAATCGAAGCATATTTAGGGACTTTGGTGTACCATTTACCTAAAATCGGGCGAAACTATATAAGGGAGCTATATCTAAATCTGAACCGATTTCTACGAATTTTAACACACATCTTTCTAGACTTAATTCACTTCCCTATGCCACATTTACCTTAAATCGGACGAAAATATATATGGGAGCTATATCTAAATCTGAACCGATTTTCAAGAAACTTAGCACACATCATTCTAGGCCTAATGTAGTACGCTGTGCAAAATGTCGTGTAAATCGAAATCTATTTAAGGACTTTGGTCCACAATTTACCTTAAATCGGAAAATATATATGGGAGCTATATCTAAATTTTTCATTTCATTTTCATTTTCACCAATTTCAATAGGATTCGTCCTTGGACCAAATAAGTGACTTGTGCCAAATTTCATTCAAATCGGATTATAATTGCGACCTGTACTTTGTTTACAATTTAACATACACGGACGGACGGACGGACATGCATAAATCGACTCAGAAAGTGATTCTATGCATATTCTCTAAAGGAACCATGTGCCTATCTCGTTTCCTTTTGCGTGTTACAAACATATGCACAAAGGCATAATACCCTGTACAACAGTGTGGTGAAGGGTATAAAGGGTTGCCATTATCAAATGAGACTAATTTCTGTAATTATGCCATGGCGTTTATCTATCTACCTATCTATCTTTCTATCTATATATATAAATCTATATATATATAAAATTGAAAAAAAAAATTGTTTGTTTGTATGTTACCGATAGACGCCAAAACTGCTGAACAGATGTTAATGAAAGTAACATAGGCTAGATAAACTTCAAAAATTCCGCAGAGTTATAGCATCAATAGTAAACATACCTCAAAATTGCTAAACATGTAATATGCGTATATCTTGGAAACGGTTACATGTACGGCCTTCAAAATTTGTCTCAATAATGTTGGTGTAAATATACATCTTCTATACAAAAATGAGAGCAGTACATTAGGGTGAAATGCAATACCAATTGCATTTAAATGATCTACATATAGAGAATAAAAAAAACATTTGTTTGAAAAGTCAAAAACCGCTGAACAGATTTTACTGAGATCTTTACAGCACCTGATGCTACAAGCTATATAAAATCCCAAAATTCCACGTGGATGTCGAGTTATGCCATCAAAATTATTCCCAACTCTGAAATAACAGAGACATTCTATGCTTGTATCTTAAAAAGGGTTACAGATTCCCATTTGCCTGAGTAAATTGGTTACATATACGCATTATCCCCATAAAAATTGGCGTGAAACAATGGGGCAGAACTTACGCCCAATTATTAATTTAATTTATCTTTACATAGAAAAAAGAAACGCTTTTGGTTGGAGACACACAAATCGATGAATTGACTTTGCAGAAATTTTCGCTGTCAGTCATGCCATCCCATGGAAGTAAGAGATAGGCAAAATAAACTTCCAAAATTCCGCGATGACGAGGAGTTATAGCATCAACCGTAATCACACCTTTGAACTAATATTCATTTTCTATGAACATATTAGAATATCTTGAATAAATCTGGTTATAAAAGTTTGTATGATACTCAGAGAAGTACAAATCCAGTCTTAAATTACCAGGACTTATAATGTTTGGTCCTATTATGTTATTATCAGTAATGATAAAAACCACCAGTTCAGTAGTTTATGTAAATGAAGGATCATTCTAGGATAACAATAAAATACTCAAAATATTTTTTCATTTTGAGGGAAAGTGTTGCTTTTGATTTTATTTTCCCGTCGAATTGAACTTGTAAGAAGTTTCAAATGGGTTCTGAATACCTATTCCAAAATACAAATTTACGTGCCATGACTTTATTAACACTTAATGAAGGATTTAAGAAATTATTGTCAATGAACCTCTCCGCATTTTCATATCGGTCTCAGTCGAAAAAGTCAAAGACAAATGACCCGATTCGTGGATGCTTACAACTTTCAAATTATTTGGCAAAGGGTATGGTGTTGATGTAAGCACGCGTGCGCATACAAACACCCGCACACAATATGTAATGGCTTTCGAAATATCAATATTTGCATTGTAGGTATTTATTCTCATCAGTTTCTATATCCAAGTGGTCGTGGCGTGTGATCCTGTAATCATACAATGCCATTGAATCGAAAATCAGACATGGGTTGGTGGTGTGATGGTTATCGCCGTTCGGTGTGAATGACAATTGTACATATACAATGATGACTTCGTCAGCGGAAAGTAGAAATATTTCACGGGACACGGAGGATTCTGAAAATTACAGGACAATTATAAGACACAGTGATGACCGATCATTAGATCAGATATCAAATTATTTGTCCTATGACAGGCATTTTGCTCGGTATCCCTCCACTTCATTTTATTAAAGTGTTTAACGTAATGAGCTATATTAATGGAAAATATTTTAAACGATTCCAGCACTTCTTGGTAATCTAAGCATTTATACCAAAAATTATTAGTTTATATCCATGTAAGGGTTTCTGAGCAAGGATCCACTAAAAGTGGAAAAACATTATGAAAATATACGAACACCGATTTCTCGCCTTTAATAGTCCGATCTGTGATCTTATGAGTAACATTTTTGTAGAATATTTGGAAATTAAAATATATCGATTTGTGGTATTAAGATTTCGGCTCAAGAAAATAAGCGCGGAAAAGCGAACTAGGACTCGCTATAGAAAAATGAATGAAAGGGCCCATGTTTTACAAAAACATTCCTAATTTCATTTTCCTAAAGATATGGCATTCCAAAATTCGCCACAAAACAATGTTATAATGTGCGTTTCTTCGTGGTATCTCTAGTTACCAGCCAAAAAGCACTTGACCTATGCCGAATTTGTTTTTCTTGTTTTTATAAATAACCCGTAGGATTACCCGTAATGCTTTCGACTGATTTCAGAATATTATCCCTAAAGTCCAAATGTTCGTCCGATAGGGACGACATTATTGCACAGCGAATCGAATTGAGTCTGGAATGACGTCTATATTCTATTCTTGCTAATGGTGGAAAATTCCTTATGGGGACGAAAGTCGTTATTTTAGAAAAAAAAAACAATAAGAACAAATACAATCTAGGTCAAGTGATTGAGTTATATAGTGCAGTTTGAGTTATGACATGATGTTCTTTGTTTCTGCTGGTACCTTGAGAGTCCATGAAGTAACCCACTTTATATCATTATTTTGTGACTAATGCGGACTATTTTTGAGATGACATATTTTCAGTCAAATGAAATTAGGTAAATTTTTGTAAAACATTTGGTCTTTCTTCTCTTTTTCCAAACCGAGTCATTGTGCATCTTTTTCGTGTTTTTTTTTCTTGAATCGTAATCTTTAAACCACAAGTCGGTATTTTTTAATCTCCAAATATTCTACCAAAATGTTGCTCCTAAGTTTATGGATAGGGTGCTCAGACAATCTTATGGGAATATACAATTATAAATTTCATATAAATTGCAGACTATCAAGTAGTGGCGGATTCGTATAAAATATTTCCATTAATAGAGCTCATTATGTTAAACACATTAATAATCTGAATTCGAGGGATACAGAGCCGGATCCATAAATAAATAGAGGTTCATATTTAAAAAATGCATATCAATAGGCACATAATTTAATATGTGGTCTCATGGCCAGTCATCGCGGCGTCTTATAATTGTCCTGTAATTTTCAGAAACCTTCATGTCCCGAGAAATACATATTTCTACTTTTCGCTGTCATACTTGTATGTGTATAATTGTTATTCACACCGAATGGCGATAACCAGATATCCACAGCACACAAAAGTGTCCGATGTTCGATTCAATGGCATTGTATGATTACAAGATCACACGATGACTTGGATATACAAGCTGATCAGGACAAATACCTACAATGGAAATGTTGATATCTCGAACAGTATTACATATAGTGTGTGGATGTATGTATGCGTACGCGTGTTTTCCTCAAAATTCTTTAATTCAACACAATAACCCCCTTTGCCAAATGTCTTTGACTTTCTCGACTAAGACCGATATGAAAATGAAATAATTTCTCAATTTTTTGATTAAGTGAAGGCACCAAAGTGTGTATAAATACGCCAGCAATTTTGGAACATGTATTCAGAACTTATTTGCAACTTCTGACAAGTTCTATTCGACGGAAAAAATAAAAACAAAAGCAACAATTTCCCTCAAAAAAAAAAAGGAAAGGATAGGATATTTTGAGTATTTTATTGTTATCCTCGATTGCTTTGTGCAGCGTTAACGGTAAGTACAGATGTTCGCTATAACATTTAACTGCAACTGTTAGTAACACTTATGCCTTCTGTCATATGTGTCTCTTAGCCGTTCCATGGACCTACTCTTCGGAGATCCTCTGGCCCACTACTTATCCCAAGTGTGGAGATCCTTACCAATCGCCCATTGATGTAGTTGTTAATGAGGTATGTGCAGGACTTCTTGAACTCAAAATATATATGTGAATATTTGTGTTTTCATTTGCAGGTAGTCGCAGTTGCCTTCGACGAAATATCACACAATATCGGACTACTATATATAATAAAACTCCACAATAATGGCCGTTATGTAACAGGGCATTTGGAACTTGGACTACTGGATACACCCACAGTCCGCATTGGAAATGGCCCACAATATAAATTTGATCATTTCCGCTTCCATTGGCGTAAAGAGGGCGCTCCATCATCGGAGAATTCCATTAATGGCCGGCACTATGATTGTGAATTCCATTATGTGTTCATCAACGAAAAATATGTGGACTTCGATGAGGCCACTAATCATGATGATGGGCTGTTAATTATTAGTGTTTTATGCGTTATAGATGACTCCCTCAAAGATAAAACATTTTTGACAGACATCTTGTTGGAAGTCGAAAAAATCGCGAACTTTAACACAGATGCATATACAGCTAAAGTTCCAATCTTCGATTTCATTAAGGATCTATTGAAGGTAGATTCTAGCCATGCGTACTTTAAATATAGGGGTTCTTTGACAACACCACCTTGCGCGGGAGCCGATATTATTCTTTTGAAAGATCCAAAACATATTCAAAGAGTGGAGTATGACGCTTTCCTACCCTTGGAAGATGAAAATAATAAGCCGATTTATACAAATGTACGTGGAATAAAACCCAAAGACGGACGCATAGTAAACGTAGGTCTCTAAAAAGATTCGCTATGAGTGATTGCAACACAACCTTTTTTTAAATATATATATTTTTTTGTATTTTCTTCTGTCTTTATACATATATCCCATAATTCAAATGTAAACAATATTATATCCGATATTTACTTCAATAAACAGTTATTTTCTTTGTCAAAAACTAAATCTTTTGTATTACTCCTCAGCTGTGTCTTTGGTATACTAAAAAGTCAATGTACACAGGTCTAATCGTGTCTAATCGAAGCGAATATAATATCGTCTTATGAATTCTGATAGTGAACCAGTTAGAAGTGGGCAAAGGTGGGATGGGGCTGAATATCTAATATCTACACAGCATCAGGTATATACACAAGGTATTCCATGAATCAAAGAAATATGGAGACTTGCCATTCCACACCTAATTCGGAAGTAAAGGGTTATCCATTTTGTGGTTTTAAAAGTGTAGGACTAGAAAACGACATATGTTTTTGTTTTCAATTGAAAATCTGACATTAGCGAAAATGTATTGCTCATCTCAGAAAAATGTATGATTCTGCCACAGCCACTTATTGTGCTTTAGTTGGAGATTATGGTCTGCATAATCGTCCCACTATGCAAGAAATTAGCAAACTAGTTATGAAGTTTGGAGAGCGGTTTAAATGTTGTAAGACCTGTGCCTCATTGTTTCACGGAAAATATCGCTGCTGCAAAAGAAAGTGTTACTGAGGACTTGAATATGTCGATTCTTCGTCGTTCTCCGGAATTAGGAATGTCTTACAGCACAGAATAGCGTGTTTTACATTTAGATCTAGATCCTTCATCCATATTAAATCCATACAAAATGTGTCCTAAGTAAGTAAATTGGGTATTATGTGTCTTAATCTTTTGTAGTGCTATGGAAATTGGTGCACCACAAAAACCTGGAACCAACTGACCATTCATAATATCATAGATACGTAGAATGGCTGCTTCAACACCAGGCGATGGTTGGCAATTTGGTATTCTTAGAGGTGCTTGGAATTCTTAGAGCGGCCATTACATCAACAAACGCCTGTTTGGAGCGCTCTTTTCTCCGAGTGTGTGATTGGGACTTACTTCTTCGAAAATCACCATGTAACGACTGGCACTGTCAATTCGGTGTATTACGGTCAATTATTACTAACTTCGTTCACCACTTATTGAAGAATACGATCTACAGAAAATGTAATTTGAACAAGACGGTGCCACAAAACTCGAACAAATAGGGCTTTATTGCAAGTAACATTTCCTGGCCGCATACTTTCTTGTCTTGTTGGTATCAACTTGCCACAATGTCAGTCGTTACATGGTGATTTTCGAAGAAGTAAGTCCCAATCACACACTCGGAGAAAAGAGCGCTCCAAACAGGCGTTTGTTGATGTAATGGCCACTCTAAGAATTCCAAGCACCTCTAAGAATACCAAATTGCCAACCACCGCCTGGTGTTGAAGCAGCCATTCTACGTATCTATGATATTATGAATGGTAAGTTGGTTCCAGGTTTTTGTGGTGCACCAATTTCCATAGCACTATAAAAGATTAAGACACATAATACCCAATTTACTTACTTAGGACACATTTTGTATGGATTTAATATGGATGAAGGATCTAGATCTAAATGTAAAACACGCCATTCTGTGCTGTAAGACATTCCTAATTCCGGAGAACGACGAAGAATCGACATATTCAAGTCTTCAGTAACACTTTCTTTTGCAGCAGCGATATTTTCCGTGAAACAATGAGGCACAGGTCTTACAACATTTAAACCGCTCTTCAAACTTCATAACTAGTTTGCTAATTTCTTGCATAGTGGGACGATTATGCAGACCATAATCTCCAACTAAAGCACAATAAGTGGCTGTGGCAGAATCATACATTTTTCTGAGATGAGCAGTACATTTTCGCTAATGTCAGATTTTCAATTGAAAACAAAAACATATGTCGTTTTTTAGTCCTACACTTTTTAAACCACAAAATGGATAACCCTTTACTTCCGAATTAGGTGTGGAATGGCAAGTCTCCACATTTCTTTGATTCATGGAATACCTTGTGTATATACCTGATGCTGTGTAGATATTAGATATTCAGCCCCATCCCACCTTTGTCCACTTCTAACTGGTTCACTATCAGAATTCATAAGACGATATTATATTCGCTTCGATTAGACACGATTAGACCTGTGTACATTGACTTTTTAGTATACCAAAGACACAGCTGAGGAGTAATACAAAAGATTTAGTTTTTGACAAAGAAAATAACTGTTTATTGAAGTAAATATCGGATATAATATTGATTACATTTGAATTATGGGATATATGTATAAAGACAGAAGAAAATACAAAAAAATATATATCGCTCTTTTCTCCGGTTGTGTTGCAATCACTCATAGCGAATCTTTTTAGAGACCTACGTTTACTATGCGTCCGTCTTTGAGTTTTATTCCACGTACATTTGTATAAATCGGCTTTTTATTTTCATCTTCCAAGGGTAGGAAAGCGTCATACTCCACTCTTTGAATATGTTTTGGATCTTTCAAAAGAATAATATCGGCTCCCGCGCAAGGTGGCGTTGTCAAAGAATCCCTATATTTAAAGTACGCATGGCTAGAATCTACCTTCAATAGATCCTTAATGAAATCGAAGATTGGAACATTAGCTGTATATGCATCTGTGTTAAAGTTCGCGATTTCTTTGACTTTCGACAAGATGTCTGTCAAAAATGTTGTACCTATGAGGAAGTCATCTATAACGCATAAAACACTAATAATTAACAGCCCATCATCATGATTAGTGGCCTCATCGAAGTCCACATATTTTTCGTTGATGAACACATAATGGAATTCACAATCATAGTGCCGGCCATTAATGGAATTCTCCGATGATGGAGCGCCCTCT